GCAAATATTGTACTATCCTGGCATCCTTGGGATGAATCCCACTTGGTCATGGTGTATGATCTTTTTAATGTATTGTTGGATGTGGTTTGCCAATATTTCTTGAGGATTTTAGCATCTATGTTCATCAGTGATATTGGCCTGAAGTTTTCTTTCTTTGTTGTATCTTTATCTGGTTTTGGGATTAGGATGATGCAGGCTTCCTAAAAAGAATTTAGGAGTCTTTCATCATTTTGGATTTTTTGGAATAGTCTGTGAAGGATAAGGGTTAGCTCTTCTTTAATTGCTTTCTAGAATTCTCCTGTAAAACCATCTGGTCCAAGGCTTTTGTGTGTCAGGAGTTTTTTTTATTACTACTTCAATTTCATCTGCTATTATTGGTCTGTTCAGGTTTTCTGCTTCTTCTTCATTGAGTTTTGGAAGATTATATTTTTCTAGAAATTTGTCTATTTCACCTAGGTTCTCAAATTTCTTGGCATACAGTTCATAGTAATTTCTTACACTCCTTTGTATTTCTGTGGTGTTAGTTGTAATCTCTCCTCTTTCATTTCTGATTGTGTTTATTTGGGTCTTCTTTCTTTTTTCTTGATGAGCCTGCTTAAAAGCGTGTCTATTTTATCTTTTTAAAAAAACCAGCTCCTGGATTCATTGATCCTTAGACTTGTGCTTTTAGTCTCTATGTCATTTAATTATGCTCTGATCTTGGTTATTTCCTTCCTTCTACTTGCTCTGGGCTTTCTTTGTTGTTGTTCCTTGAGTTCTTGCAGGCGTAGGGTTAGGTTGTTTGTTTGAAATGTTTCTATCTTCTGTAGGTAGGCCTGTATTGCTATGAACTTCCCTCTCAGGACTGCCTTTGCTGTGCCCCATAAGTTTTGGGTTGCTGTGAGTTCATTTTCATTTGTTTCCAGAAACTTTTTGATTTCTTCCTTGATCTCATTCTTGACCCATTCATTGTTTAATAGCATGCTATTCAATCTCCATCATTTTGAATATTTGGGGTTTTATTCCTTGGGGTTGGTTTCTAGTTTCAGCCCCTTGTGGTCAGAGAAAATGCTTGATATGACTTCAATTTCCTTGAACTTGTTGAAGCTTGTTTTGTGTCTATCATGTGGTCTATGTTTGAAAATGTTCCATGTGCATTTGAAAAGAACGTGTATTTAACTTCTTTGGGAATGAAAGGTTTTATATATATATCAGTTAAGTCCATTTCATCTAGGGTATTGTTCAATGCCACAATATCTTTGTTGATATTTTGTTTGGAAGATCTACCCATTTTTGACAGTGGGGTGTTGAAATCCCCAACTATAATTGTGTTGCTGTCAATACATTTCTTGAAGTCCTCCAAGATTTTCTTTATGTATTTTGGTGCTCCTGTGTTGGGAGCATATATATTTACAATGTTTATGTCTTCTTGGTGGATTCTTCTCTTGAGTATTATGCAGTGACCTTCCGGCTCTCTCTTTATAGCCCTTTTTTGAAGTCTATTTTGTCTGATATGAGTATTGCTACCCTGGCTTTTTTTTTACCTGTCTGTTTGCTTGGGAAATTTGTTTCCAGCCCTTCACTTTCAGTCTGTGTAGCTCTTTTGTCCTGAGGTGGGTCTCTTGTAGGCAGCATATATATAGGTCATGCTTTTTTATCCATTCAGCTATTCTATGTCTTTTGATTGGAGCATTTAATCAGTTTACATTTAAGGTTATTATTGATAGGTAGTTATTCATTGCAAAATACTTCTATTTTAAGGGTGTATTTATAATAGTTAAAAATTAATCACTACACTGAAGATTAAATATTTTAACTTCAAATGTATTTGATAAACTGATTTGTGCTATACAAAATTTATAAATAATTTCAGTCAGTTATGAATATTCATGCATAAGAAGGTATGTAACTAAATCTGGCCAACAATAATAAAGATTCAACATTATCTAGATGACCAAATAAAATAATTTTAAGTAAGTTTTTAAGAAATTTTAAAGTTTAAGATCATACTTTATTTAAATAATTCACAGAAGAGTATAAGACTAACATTTCCAGCAGTGTAATGAACTGAATACCCTAATTAACTCTCCCTCTAAAAATAACTTTAAAATGTTGGATAAAATAAAACTAAGCCCTGGCTGGTGTGGCTCAGTGAATTGAGCACCAGCCTGAGAACCAAAGGGTCACTGGTTCGATTCCCACCCAAGGCACATGCCTGGGTTGTGGGCCAGGCCCCTGGTGGGGGGGTGCATGAGAAGCAACCACACATTGATGTTTCTCTCCCTCTCTTTCGCCCTCCATTCCTCTCTCTGTAAAAATAAATAAATAAATAAATAATCTAAAAAATAAAAATAAAACACTTTTTAAAATATATTGATGAGCTGGCAAAAACATTTAAAAGTTTTAAAAGTCAAAACCTATATGAACACAGAACCTAGAGATAAGCATCAAAGTCAGCTTTCATTTAGAGAACATTGGCCAAACCAAGCAACCTAAACTTTTGTTTTTTGTAACACTTTTTAACTGCCTACCAAAATTCTATCTGTGCTTCCCCTCCACAGTAACCCACAGTCAAAAATTGTAAACTCACAAAGAAAGAGAACAACATGTGCAAGAGCCAACAGAAAAAAACAGATAGTAGAACAGAGTTCATAGCTGTTAGAATTGCCAATTCAGAACAGAAAACCGTTACATTTAATATTGTTGAGAAACACTCCTCCATGAGTCTCTCTTATTCCTGCATGTCTTGCTTTGTAGTCCCCAAAATCGAGGCCTGGCTTATCTTTACCCAGACCATTATTCAGGCCTGTGTTTGCAGTAAGTAACCTTACAGGATGAGGTAACATCTCCCACGTGCTCACTGTGTACCGTAAATGGGCAAGTTTCCCAAGGTCAGCGATTGTCTCCTGTGCAGGCAGCTATCTGTGCCTCTCCTCTAGGAACTGGGAGACAGGGAACCAAAACAAACATGCTGACACTCGGGCTACTGCTTTTTCTGTAAATAATAAAGTCTTTCATCTCTGGTACAGGAGTCTCGTGTCTTCTTTCAGCATCTACACAACTGTGGCAAGCTAACTTGCAACTTGTATAAAATCTCAAATTTTATCTTTCACAGTTCTTGACAGTCTTAAAAAATAAAAATATGAATAAAAACCACGAGTTAAAGAACTACTAGAAAATTTTAAAAGAAACAGAACTTCTAGAAGTAAAAAATACAATTGAAATGTAAGGCCCATTGCTTGATTAAAGGACAGATTAAACACAATTGAAGAGAGCATTAGCAAATTGGAAAATATATCTAAATTTAATCAAAAGGCAACATAGAGAGGAAAAAAGAATAAAATTTACATTGAAAAAAGAAAATAAAAGAATCTGAAACAGAATTTAAGGAATATGAGCAAAGAGTGAGGAAAGCAAACATAAATCTTATTGAAGTTACAGAAGGAAAATAAAGCAAAAGTAATTAATTATTTGAAAAGACTACAGAGATATTTCCAGACTAATGAAAGATGCCAATCCATATATTTGGGAGGCCCTATGAATTCTAAGAGGTTAAATAAAAAGAAACTCACACCTAAACACAGAAGAATAAAACTGCAAAGCAGCAAAAATGTGGAGGAAATCTAAATAGTTAGGGAGAAAAGGCACTATATTCTATGGAATGAAGTTATACTTTTGGCTAATTTACAACAGAAACAGTGAAAGGCAGACACCAATGGAATATTTTCAATGTGCTGAGAGAAAGTAATCTAGAATTCTGTACCCATGTAAATGATCATTGTAAAAGTAGGCTCAAAATAAAGGCATTTTCAAACAAACAAAAAAGACAGACTTTTCCTACAGTTAGAGCCTTAGAAAAGGAGATTCTAAAGGAAAAAGCAAAATTATCTGAGATGGAGTGAAAATGAAAAAAGAATTAATGAGCAAAGAATGAGATTCTATTTTATAGCAAGTAGATTGGAAAAATTAAGAAATCTGACAATTCCAAAAGTTGACAAGGATCGAGGAAAACTTTATGCACAGCTGGTGGGAGTATAAATTCATATCACTTTGAAAAACAATATGGCAATAACTTATAAAACAGAACTTGTATGTATGTAACTCAAAAATTCATCTAATACATATTAAACTAGAAAAACTCTTAACACATAGGACACTCTTATACTGGGGCACAAGACACCATAAATATGTTCATAGTGGCACTGTTTATAATAGCAAAAAATGTAAATAATTGACCTGCCCATTAACATAATGAAAATTAATGAATTACTACTATATATATATTAATGTGGCTGAATCTGAAAAATCTTAGAAACATACTAAGTAAAAAGTGAGATTTGGACTCTAAACACAGTGCAATGAAGGCTTGAGTATAGTAATTTCTCATGGCAGCGTCTTTCTCTCTTCACAGAAAGGAAGTACATGTGACTAAGCTTGGCAGTGAGCCCCTCTCTCCCACAGCTTTGCATCTTGAGCAGAGAAATGTGACAATAAAGAAAGGGTGAGGAGCAGTTCGGAATTTGTACCAGGCATGTGCCCTAGGCTGTTCCTACTGACTTGGTTCCTGTCCCATTTTTAAGCCTAGTTTTCTAAACTACTCATCAGTTCTGTGAGCCTCCCACTGTCCTCCAGTAATTTCCCATTTTCCATAAATTAGTGAGTCCAGGTGTGTTGCTTGCAACCAAAGAATCCTAACTGATACACGTAGCTATCAAGCAATGAATTTATATCATTCCACCTGCTATGATTAATCCTTAGTGATCAACTTTCTCCCTGTGATTTGGTTTCCCAGTTAGGTTTGGCAGGCTTCCACGAGGAAAATGCCTACTTGTATAGTTTAAGGCCCAGCTGCCGGTGCTACCTGCTTTGGCTGAATCCCTTTGGGTTATTACTGTCCAAGGGGCACAACCCTGACTTCCTCTTTTCCAAGCTGGCCAGTGATACTGGCTACACTAAGAATCCATGGCTTCAAGGTGTGAGAAAACCCATCGTTGCATCAACTGTTATTTAGGGTGCCTTACCTCCTCGGTCTTTAAAACGTCCCATATTCGAGCATGATCGTCCTCCAGCCAGTGTGCTGCACTCTCCACCCTGGTGGAAGGTTTGAATTTAGACACCGATTCAGTAGGCTCTGCCACGGGCTGCCCCTCCATCCTGAAAGAGCCAGGCAGGAGGCATTACGAACCTGTGTGGAGGAAGAAAGTGAGATACAGGTGAAAACATCAAGTAACGTAAAAAGAGATATGAAAGCAAATTATCTTATTCGGTTTGTGAATAATGAGACCATTGGAGAGAGTATCACAGAATCATCAACTTTTATGGTCACTTTTTATGTTTTAAATATTTGTTACTGGTATTTTAGCACCAGCTTCTGGAGGTAGACACACGTTTTGGTGATAGATGAAGGGATATAAATTTTAAAGCTAAGTGAGAAGCATTGTCTATTGTATCTTCCTGTCCCTCTGTTCTGGTCCCTTCAGGAGGAGAGACGGGAACTGGTGGATGTAAGACAAGCTTGCGTGATATTTTTGTATTTCACATGTAGGAGAAGCACTGGCTGTGGCATCAAGCAGCTGTTGAGGGCCTGTCTGTATGAGACTTCACGCTGAGCATGCACAAATAATGCGGCAGTTTGGCTCTTGACCTTAAGAAGCTTAGTGTGTCGGGGCAGAAAGGGCCAGGGTTGTAAACAAGTGATCACAGTATAGAGTATTGCAGCACAGTGTGCAAAATGCCACACTAGCCCCGTTTCCGAACTGCAGTGGAAGCTCGGAAGACGGTCCTCTTTGCTACCCATTGGCAGCGTTACTTCCTGAGCTCCAGTTTCATCAGCAGTTGCTGCGAAGACAATATTTAAAACTTGATATCTATTCCATCAAGTCTGCTTCCTTGCTATCTTCCCATCTGCCACTGGCTTACTCAGAATCACATCATGCCTGCTCTGTGCCATACTGTCCTAAGGAATCTCCTCACCTCCAGTCAAGTCCCCGTGAAGCTACCCTTCTCCGGGGAATTGTTCTAAAAAGCAAATCTAATAATGAAGCTCTACCTACCTGAAACTCTTCCCAGAAAATAAAACCCAAACTCCTTCATGTGACATCCATGGCCCTTGCGTCTGGCTTCCTCGCCTCCCTCCTCCCACCACACCATCCTGCCCCCTCAGCCACTCCGAGTCAGCCTTTGGAAAGTACTGAGGGATCTCAACTACATCCAGTACCTTTTGCCTTTGTTTGTGACACCAGCCCTCCACCCCACCTCCAAGAGAATGAGGACTCCTCCTTCGTTAATCTCTTCACATGCTCTGGACAGATTTCTACCCTGTCAGTATAACACTTTGTTAGATTTATTTGCTCTCAACTTGATGTCCACAGTCTGGTCTTCTAAGCATCTTGACACTAGACATGGTGTCATTTACAGAATAAGTACTAAGTAAATGTTTGATGAATTGGTTAATTCAGTAAATCATGAGGATGCGGTGAAAATGAGGGGACAGAATGTAATATACTCAAATAACAGATTTAGAAGTCAAGTGACCTGTTCTCTTTAACATCTTTATTGACTTAGTGGGCTGGAAGCTCTTCACAAGAAAGGGCCAAGTCTAACATTCATCAACACTACTAAGCAGCGAACACTGCAAGCTGCAATTACTTAACAACAGAGTAGTTTTCATGCACACGTCCTTGAGCAATTGAGCATGTCTGCAAAAAGCAGGCCTTCTGCTCACTTGACCTACTGCCTAAATCAAAGTAAGTGGAAATCAGCATTGCTGAGTCGGGCAGTGTGGGTAAGTCAGAGGATTCAAGAGAAGGATCTTGTGCTGCGGAGTCACTTCCCCGCCTCACATGTTTCATCTGTAAGCCACGGAGAGCAAGTCATCCGCCTGCAGAACAATGATGAGGAAGCTGCTAACCAAAGCCCATGTGCAGTCGGAAGAAAGCTGGAGCACTTACTGCACTCCCACGAGGAACCAGGAAACAGAGACTTTATAATTAACGAACAAAATTCTGCCATTCTAATAAATGATCCTGACACATACACGCAAGGAAATAAACAAAGCAGAGTCATGCTGAGATCCTGCGGTTTCCGTCCAAAATAAATAAATAAATAAAAATAAACAGGCAAAATGGAAACAGGCCAGATTAGTAGGGAAGGAAATTCCATTGTTGTTACTGGAGATAATACTGTAAACAACAAATAATAAATCAAAACCAAGTGGGAAGACTACATTAAATGGTTTGGCTGTGTCCTTTGTATGTCATGGAAATGTAACTGGATAAAATCAGCAAACTACAAAATCTCAGGGTGAACAATGGGGCGCCTTTAAGCCTAATGTACCCCAGTGACCCCACGGCTCTTACTCTACAGTCTGCCCACAGCTGCCTTCTCATCTCTGCAGTGTGGGTGAAAGTTGGCAAACTGTCAGTGTTGGAGACTGAACTCTGCTGTGTACTGACTTCCCAGATTGTTCCTTATCCTATTTGGGAAGAAGATGCAATTCTGAGTTTTCGACCATTCCAAAGCTCTGGGAAAACTAAAGATGGATGAAGAGAGGCAGCCAGCTCTTACGAGGCTCTTCAAGCATTTTGAGATCCTCCACCCTATCTGAGAGGTGAGGCCTTTCCACCCATTCTCACCCAATACATCTCTTCACTCACAAAAGACTATATATGCAACATACATTGAGCTCCCACTGCATACCGGCCACGGTGCTAGGTATTTTCCACATCATCTTTAATCCATACAATAACCCTGTAAGGAGGCTATTACCAGTTTACAGCAATGAAAGATTAGATTCAGAGAAGATGAGCAGCTTTAATACACTGCTTAGAAGTTGTGGAGTTCCCCAGTAATGCTCTCTGCCCTAGGTCAGTCCAGAAGTCCTTCCACCCTCACCCTGACCCCAGTGCTGGTGTAACACAACCCCTCTCTTATGCCCCTCCCCCTGGAACAAGAGTTCAAGTGTCAGCATTTAGCTCACTGGCACAACAGTGTCCCCCTGAGAGACGGTCGTATCTCTCCCATAGATGAGAGTGGGATAGAAAGTGAGAGAGAGACATGGGGATACAGACCACCCCTTTTCTTTTTACTCTCATGTCAACTTCTGGCCAGGGCAGGCTTTGTGAGTGTGACCTGTGAGTGTGACCACACAGGGCCTGGGGCTCAGAAGAGCCCCACGCTTGGTTGAGTGTTCTGTTGTCACTGTATTGAAATCCTTAATTATTGAGCAATTAGCCCTGCTTTCTCATTTCACACTGGGCCCCACATATATAGCCCATCTTGCAACTGGCCTCCCCTTTTCCCCTTCAAATCTGAAGTTTCACTCCATACCTTCTTTAAACAATTCACGCATTATAGGTTTCCTATCTATTTCCCTAGAAGTCTATGTACTGGAGCCATTTTTTATTAGCAGGCAGGGGGAATATGTAGACCGTCTCTGCCTCTGACGTGCTGCGTGTCTTAGAGCTGAAGGCTTACAAGCCAAGTTACACACAAATACCACCAACACAAGCTCCTTCGCCAGGCAAGGTGAAACCACTGTAAATCTAAAAGGCAGACTCTTCAGTTCTACTTAATAACTGATCTAAAATACCATAGGCCTTAGGAGCTCTTGTGGAAATCGGTTTTGAATAACTGTCAATCTAAAACACTCAATATCTGCCCTGGCTGGTGTGGCTCAGTGGATTGAGTGTGGGCCTGCGAACCAGAGGATCGCAGTTGGTTCAATTCCCAGTCAGGGCACATGCCTGGGTTGCAGGCCAATTCCCAGCAGGGGACGCATGAGAGGCAACCATACATTGATGTTTCTCTCCCTCTTCTTTTCCATTCCCCTGTAAAGATAAATAAAATCTTTTAAAAAATCAAAAAATAAAACACCCAATACCACTGCAGAATCTTTTTTTAAAACCACTTGATCGTCCTTAAGTTGGAGGTGAGGTGGGGAAAGGAAGCTGTGTGTACACAAAGGCACATCCAGCCAGAGAACAGAGAAGCAAGATCTTGCTCCGAAGTTTAAAATACAATTGCTTGAGAACTGGGTTTGTTTTTTTAGTGTAAAAGGACTGAGATGACCCACTGCTTCCACTGCATGAAAGAGAGAAGTAGACGAACCAGGAAGGCAGGTTTGATGGAACGGAAGGGAGGTGGGAGAGCTCAATAGAAACTGACAACAGAAAGTGGTGGAAATAGTAATTTGATTATGATTATATAAATAATCAAAACAATGATATGATTATTAATGAGAAAGTACTTCCTTAAGGAATGTTTTAACTTTAAAATTTACACTGTTAAGGTGTATATTTTCTTTTTAATATATTTACCACTCTATGCTTGTGATATAATATGTATAACATAGAATAATAGCATTTCTCCCATCCCTTCCAAAATAATCACTGACTGATGGCCATAACATGTTCTATGGTCATCACAGAGGACTCAGTTGACAGCTTCTTGTCCTAAATGACATTACGTACTAAAAGTAAATGAGTAGCTTCTCGGGGGCTAATGTTAAAGTTGTAAGTATAAGTGACATTTGAGGAACACAAAACTTTAGCATTATTAGTGCTTGCCGTTGGATTAAAAATTAGCCATAACTCCCATTAATATTTTTGAAACATAACTTCAAATTAAGTGCTAGAGCATAATTTCACTGAAATCTACGTGTATTGTATTAATCCCCATGCTGGATTTTGATAAATCAATCTGTACTTTACCAAATTTGACTTTCCTTCTGATGATAGTAAAAAATGTATGAGACAGCCCTCTAAATCATTATCTTTTCCTTTTCCCTCTCCTCTTTATAAACTTTTTGAAAGAAAAAAAAAGTGAGCCATGATGCAGGCATAGATAGATACATTGTGCTTCTTTGTACAACCAATAAATAGTATGGGACAACAACAAATTTAGAAACAAAAAATAACCCAAACTACCAGAAAATCAAACTGTATGGAAGTCAGACACCCAAGGAGTTAAAGAAGAAACATTCATCCAGACCAGCAGGAGAGGCAGAGACAGCAGCCAGTCAGAGAGGACTCGAGGCAAGGCAGCAGCTGGTGGACCAGGCAGTCCCACATTTGTGTGTGGATAACCAGGAGGAACAACTTGGGAACAAGACAGACCGCACAACCAAGGGTTCCAGTAGGACAAATAAAGCGTCAAACCGCTGGCTGTAAAAACCTGTGGGGGTTG